TGGCTACCACCTCCAGAAGGAATGGTAAAATGTAATATTGATGGAGCATGGAGAATGGATGGTACAATCTCTGGTATTGGATGGTTTTTGAGAGATCATAAAGGTATGGTTCAGTGGATTGGAGCAAAAACGTACCCTAGGATGAAAATAGTGCCAGCCACGGAAACAGAGGCCCTCAGATGGGCTTTAATAATGATCAACTCTCTTGGGTACAATCGGGTTTAGTTTGAATCAGATTCAAACACTTTGATAAGAGCATTGAAAGACAAGAATGTCATATCTGTTCTCAGCCCTATGGTATAAGATATATGTTATTTGCTCAATCCCTTTGGAGAGCTAATGTGATCTCTCCTATAGAGAGGGAAATGGAGTGGTTGATCGGATAGCAAAGGAGGCTCTCACATACGAGAGTTGTATTCCCAAGCTCGTGTCAAACTGGGTGAAAACTCTTGTTGATTTGGAGCAATTTGTGTAAGACTTTTAAGTTGGAATGTATACTATTGACACTGAGCCAAAAAGAAAACGTATTTCGTAACGCTCTTCGTAACGGATTTTGTAACGTATCTGATAACGCACACAAATAATTTTTTTGTTATTTAAAACTACTTGAGAATCTAAATTGTTTCCATTTAAAGTTTTTCAACTTTTTATATATATATATAATTACATATCCAGATTTCAACAACATCATCATCCATTTCAGGAAGAGCTTCTCTAAAAAAAATCAAAAATTTTACAGTGCCTGTGGAAAGAGAAGTAAAGACCAAAAGAAAGAAGTCATTACTATTATTTAAGTGAATGCATGTGGAAAGAGAACAAAACACCAAAAGAAATAAGTCATTACTATTATTTTAGTGAGTGTTATATGAACCAAACCTAAGCCAAAAGGTTTGGAATCGAACTTCAATAAATTTTGTTATCTCTACTATTTTTGCATTTGTTTGTCTAGTGTTCTTTTTGTTTCAATATAAAGATGTCATTTTTAAATCCAAATTGGATTTCAACATATCAATGATTTTATTGTCTAGAACTAAAACTTCAAATGTTCCTACTTTTTAACGGAGCAAACTTCAAATTTTAATTTTTTTTTATATCCACTTCGAATAAAACATCAATCTAAGAAATACACCATTTTTTCTCTTGTTTGGTCAGAAGAAAAAAAAATACTCAATTTTAGTGTACACAATTTAGTAAATACACAATTGGTGATAAAAAAATGTTCTTATTTTGAGTCCAACAACTGTTATTTTTTTTTCTTTCTAACTCTTTATCTAAACCCATTGACATAATTACATAATTAGTTATACACATGATTATTCTTTCAAATTTTTTTTTTATCGAAGATATACTTTAAATTATAAAACACTTTTACAATAATGTCAGAGGCAGTCATAGCCAAAGGATTTCGTGTCGGGTTTAAACCAAACACTGATGATGTGTCTCTGTTCTGTGTGACTCTGCATTAGTGTTGGGATTTTTAGTATCACCCAATTTCTAGTCTCTCTCCGTCTTCTCTAGATTTCCACTTGTTCTTCCGTTTTCTTATGGAACCCTATCTCCTTTCGATTCCTTGGCTCATGGGTAATGTAAAAGGTTTGATTTTGATCCCTGGATTTTTGTTTCTATATGGTGCTTNCTTAGTAAATGCCAGATAATGAAGAGAGTCTCTACTTTTTGCATTCCCTACTTGTTGGGGATTGGGTTTTGTGGAATTGTGACTTTGTTAGAGATTCAAAATTCAACTCTTTTTACTTTCCTTTTAGGCATTTCCAAATGGCGTTGGCAACTAATGTTCAATCAACTAGTGAGGCTATGAGTGAGGCTTTGTATACAGAGCTATGGAATGCTTGTGCTGGACCTCTTGTAACTCTACCCCGCAAAGGGGAACGAGTTTATTACTTCCCAGAAGGTCACATGGAGCAGGTAGGTTCATTGTTACTTTGAATTCCATGATGTTGGTGATGATGCGTAGTGTCTTGCTTGTTTGATACACATGATCATTTGCTAGACTACTTTTCATTCTATGTCCTATCAGTTATTGATGTTTGATCTGACAATGCAGCTCGAGGCATCAATGAATCAGCCCTTGGAGCAACAAATGCCTTCTTTCGACCTTTCATCTAAGATTCTCTGTCAAGTGACTAATGTCAACTTGGCTTTACTT